TTGTAGCTCAATATTTATAATTCTGAAAGCAGAATCCAGTTTTAATGTATTGAACTTTATTTCCAAAATGTTGATCTTTCCAGGGATTTGAGTCATAGCTTATTTTTATGGGCCTTTAAATTTTACAAAGTACTTAATGGCACATGGGCAAAAAAAAATAAGACCCTATAAATTCATGTTTCTCCAAATTCCATTTCAGATTCTCTTCTTATAAAGTGAAGTTGGCAGGTTTCACTCCATAATGGAAAAACAAAACTAAAATGTTTCATGCAGTTTAGTCTTTTAAGTCTGTATACTTTTTAACCTGCAGCTAAATAAATACAAAATTATTGAACAACAAAATCCAGATGATGCCTGAGAGAAGTCTAAAACTCTATTCGTCAGCATACTTAGGGAAATGCTGACATAGAATTAATTTATTAGCTGAAATACCTATCATTGCTAATTCTACATAATATAGTAAGGCTAAATTTATTTGAAGCACACTTGCCTTTAGGCCCCCAAAATCTTGTGGCCAATAATAAAGAAAACTAATGAAACCAAAAGCTGTCCTTTGACAATATCAATAAAGTTGATAAACCTCTAGCAAGACTGCTTGAGGAAAAAAAGACACAAATTACCACTATTAGAAATGAGAAAGATGATTATCTCTACAGCTTCTATAAATATTATAAGGCTGATACTGGGCATGGTGGCTCACGCCTATAATGCCAGCATTTTGGGAGGCCAAGGTGGGATCACTTTAGCCCAGAGTTCAAAACCAGCCTGGGCAAATAGCAAGATCCACCTCTAAAAAAACATAATAAATAATTTTTTTTAAATCCCTGTTAAGCAAATGAAAAGACAAATCACACAGTGGGAGAAAATATGTGTAAACCATATACCTGTATTTGCTGAAGGACTTATCTGGAATACATAAAGAAACCTTAAAATTCAACAATAACTTTTTTTTTTTTTTGAGATGAAGTCTTGCTCTTTCACCCAGGCTGGAGTGCAGTGGCAAAATCTCCGCTCACTGCAACCCCGCCTCCCAGGTTCAAGCAATCCTTTCGCCTCAGCCTCCCAAATAGCTCTGATTACAAGTGTGCACCACTACACCCGGCTAATTTTTGTATTTTTATTAGAAATGGTGTTTCACCATATTGGCCAGGGTGATCTCAAACTCCTGACCTCAAGCGATCCACCTGCCTCAGCCTCCCAAAGTGCTGGAATTACAGGCATGAGCCACTGTGCCCAGCCAGCAACTTATTTTTTTAGTGGGCAAAACATTTCTACTGACTTCACCAATGATATACAAATAAGCACATGAAAAGATACTTGATGTCATTCTTCATTAAAAAATGCCAATTAAAATCACAAGAGTCTAAGTGAGTTCCATTGACAAAGAGGAAAAGAAGCCAATGAACTGGACAAATTGAGTCACTGGGGTGCAGGACTCAATGGAGAAAGTATGATTTTTCTTGCTTCCTGGAAATCTAAGCACCAGTAAGAAATCAGCCATGTCATAATTTCTTCATACATTATGGAAGAAAGACATCTCAGAAAATTCCTTTTGTTTCTTAATGTCAGATTACAAAATTGGTATCTAGGTACTAATCAACCCAGCCTTAAGGTCCATGTGACTTTTCTTTTTTCCACCAAAGAAATGTTTACATGCTTGTTACTTGAACTGTTGCTGAACAGTAAAAAACAAATTGCTCTGCATCTTCTCTTCTGCTTCCAGTAGACCTGATCATTGACCCCAGTTTGGAGGCAGATTATTTTTCAACCCCAAACAGCAAGTGCAGGTGTTACTGTGGCACACAGGAGGACACATGCATAGTGCCCCAAGCATGTATACCATGATGCTGTCTCCAGGCACCAATTCCAGTCCCAGTGGAGTAGGTGAAAGAGGCCTTGGAAAATTGTCTAACCTTTCTAGCATAATTGTAGAGGGCTTGTGGTGAGGCCAATATACTGGGCTATGAAAACATTTTTTCACTTGTAAAGAAGTTTCACTTTTAATCTGAGCACATGAACTCCCTGAAATGCCTGTAAGTTCAACTTAAGATCATATTTATTATTTCCATTCCACTTTTACCTCAGAAGTGGGTCTTCAAAATTGTATTCCTGAGTAGATTAAATATCAGAATAATCAAGAAAAGATACAAGTATGTATGAGGCATGTGGTTTCTATGGAGAATAGTCATTGAGAGAAATTTTATTTTTAGGCTTTAACAAAGATTTTTAAAAGTGATTTTAGAACATAATGTGGACTGGATCAGTAGAATTCTTCCTCCCCTGGAAACAGTGAGTGAGGGGCAGGCCTGTGACTACTGAAGGTTCATTCCAAGGGCTGTTGGGGCAGTTGTCCTTGGAGCTCACCCTGCCTGAGCACACTGCAGATTTTGCCCCAAGACTCAGATGGTAGGGAACCAAGTTCCATCCTCAGTTGCCCTGTCCCCTTCTTCTGTCCCAGCACCCACAGTCTGAGTCACCCCCCTCTCCATCACTGGCTCCTTGGGTGTGGGACTATTGATTCCAAAGCAACAGCTTGGACTGGAGAGCTCTGTATGGCATTACAGGACAGGTTGAGGGGGAAATTTAAGGTCTGAGCTAGGCTTAAGAAAGAAGCCAGGAAGACCAGAGAACCAGGCCTACTGGAGAGTCAAACCCAGGGCCATCTTTGCTGTGCATAAGTATCAGTAGGGGCAAGCATTTGAATGAGAATTGCGTTATTAAGGGACATGGTTAACTACTGAGATACACATAGAGGGCTAACAAAACAAGGAAATAAAAGGTATTTTTTAATGTTGATCCTTAATTATGTCAGATCTGCTTCTTTTATTATAACTATAAACTCTTCAAGGTTAGCCTTTATCATTAATTCATTCATTCAGAGACAGGGTCTCACTCTGTCACCCAGGCTGGGGTACGGTGGCACAATTATGGCTCCACTGCAGCTTTGAACTCCCAGACTCAAGTGATCATCCTCCTCAGCCTCCTGAGTAGCTGGAGCTGCAGGCTTATGCCACCACACCTGGCTAATTGTTTTAATTTTTGTAGAGAAAAGGTCTCACTACGTTGCCCAGGTTGGTCTGAAACTCCTGGCCTCAAGCAGTCCGTCTACTTTGGCCTCCCAAAGGTGCTGGGATTACAGTTGTGAGCCACTGCACCCAGCCAGCCTTTATAATTAGTTTCTCATATTGCATGATCATAGGAAACCCATGATATCTTATCCCTTCATTTTCACTGATGAGAAAACTCGCACTATTAATGCTTATAGTTCTAAAATCCTGGAGTATGGCACACTACCTAGCCATTCAGAGCCAGGGCCCATGGAAAGCTCTGCTGTCTTTTGGAGATGCGATGCAACAGGAAGGCATTGGCTCACATCAAGGAAGCAGTTCCGTGGTTTGCAGGCTCACTGCACAGGAATCAAACTCTCTTTTAATGCATCTTCCTAAAATCCATTTTGTTTTGTATTACTTACAAGCTAAAATTTTAGTTCAATTAAAAAGCCAGTAAGAAAATGTAGAAAAAAGCCCTTTAATCGTCACAGAAAACCAGGTTCCTAACCAGATGATAAATTTTGATAAATCAGTGATATCCAGATCATGACCTAAATTCCTATTTGTCCACTGGACGGTCAACATATTACACATATGCCTACTCGCTCTGGCCGACCCAGCTGACTAAGTACAGATCCATATTGCCAAATTAAACATGGAGGGGAATGCTGACTTTTAGACAGCTTGCCTGTAGTGTTCATTTGAACCAGCTTTTAAGCAAGTATAATTATGATTGGAACTTATTTCAGCCAAACAGAATTTTCTAGCTGGTCATGAGAGATTGTTTGAGAAATATAGAGGTGAGATTGCAAGGTGGAGTGGGGAGTGTCACAGGGTCATCAGCCTACCTTCTGCCATTGTGAGATGGCACCACAGTCTGTATACAGTTTGCCTAAAGCACGCTATAGTTCAACGAGCATTCCAACCTTTGCCCAGCCTTCTGCCTCCCATGTCATTCCCTCATTCCTATTCCTGTGCCCGGTGACCTCACTGCCTAATTTACTGATGAAAAATTAGGGTTAAAAGACATTAGCTCCTGCCCTTTCCCTTGGCACTTGAACTACCGTTCTCTTGCCTACCTTTCATCCATCCTTGTTTCCAAAGCTGTTCCCTAAATCTAGCCCCGAGCCTCATTGATTCTTGCTTTTCCAGGATCTTACTCTCTTAGTTATTAGCTAACAAATTTTTCTAAAGTTTGTTCTCTCTATTGGCTCCTTCCAGATTGCTTGAATAACAGTTAAGACCCTGTGCTCTGGAGCGAACAGACCAGGGCAAAATCCCAGCATTGCCAGGTACCAACTGTCTGGATTGCCTTCAGACATGCACACATTTCTTTTGACCAGAAAACATCTCTTGCTGTCCCCTTAAGCCACCACCTTCTCTTCTCAGTCCTTTTCATTGCCAAACTTCTGTAAGAACAATTTTTCTTGTTGTATGTCACACTGTTACACCACAGGTGCCTGGAAAGCAAGAACCAAACTTATGTTAATATATATCACATGTCAAACACAGTGTAATGTAGTGAGTGGGGTAGAATCTTCGGAGCCTAATAAGCCAGAGTTAAATTTGGGCTCACTATGCTTACATAAATTTAATGTTTTTTAAGGTTAAAAAAAAAACATTAAATTGGGTCTCACTAATTAATGTTTACTGTTATTGGGTAAATGTCTTAATCTTGCTGATCCTATGCTTTCTCAATTGTAAAGTGGAGATAATAATGCCTCTCTTGCTATGTCGTAGAGATTAAATGGATTATGTTTCTTAAAAAACCCTCGTCTAGTGTCTGGCACACAGTAGGTGCTCGGAAAAGCTGGTTCCCTTCCCATCTCTATTCATGGTAGGGATTCAGGTATTTGTGGAGTGAATGAATAGTCTCCTGCATGTTTCAGTTAAGCTTCCACTTTTTGTTCTATTTAATTCTTACTCTTTTCTTTGCCTTGTGTGTTTCAGGTTCACAACCAGTATCCAACTGAGTTTGAATTCAATCTCTATTACTTAAAGTTCTTGGCTTTCCACTATGTATCTAATCGCTTTAAAACATTTCTCCTGGATTCAGACTATGAAAGATTAGAGCACGGTATGTGTTTGTATGCCCTTGTTTTATGTTTTATCTTTTTATTAGTTCTGCATGTTTTTAATGAAAATCCTAATAATGTAACTACCCCAAAGAGTGACAAGCTGAGTTAGGGCTTAACTCTGACCTATGAATGTAGGAGAGTGGATAAGTGGCCAGATTCTGAAATTATGTACCATGTTAGCTCTTGGCAGGTGATCATTCCTATAGCACCTTTGTAAACATATTTATGTTTACTATTTTGATACCTCAAAGTGATCACACTGTTTGAGAAGAAACATTTGACTCATAGTTTTTCCAACCCTGATGCACTCTAGTAGGAAGGGTACCTGGCCCTCGGAGGCAGCTTGAATAGCAGTTAAGGCCCTGTGCTCAGGAGCAAATAGACCAGCGTAAAATCCCAGCATTGGCAGTTACCAACTGAATGTTTTGGAGAGGGGTTAAGTACCTCTCTGAGCCTCAGTTTCATCTTTAAAATGAGGACAGTAATAGCACCCCACCTGTCAGGACCATGATGATCACATGAGGAAATAGTTGTAAACTCTTCACACAGTCAGTTAGCCTCTTAGTATGGTCACTAGCACATAGTAAGCACTCAGTAAATTTTAGACATATGATAGTGATAAACTATTAACTTTAATAGCAATAATAATTATAATTAGTAGATTCTGAAAGTCAGCCCCTGTAAAAACATTTCCCAAGGGGATTTTACATTCTTTCTTTTGTTACTGTTACAGGGGAAGAGGAAGAAAGGATATGCATGACGATTTTTGTTAAGCAAACAAAAATCAGCTCTGTTCAATACATTATATGTATTCAATATCATAAAGAAGACTCTTAATTCCAAGAAAATATTTACTGATGTTGTCAGTTTAAAATCGGAAATCAGGAAATACTGCTTTTCAGGGCATGCCACTGAAATTGTCTAGTATGATAGTTCCTACTTTTGATAAGGGAAACAGTACTGGTGAGACAATTTCCCATCCTGTTAATACGTCCAGACTTTTGTTGACTCACGGAATTTTTATTCTTCACATCACAATCAGAAACTTTAATTTCTTAAGCATCTTTATACCATGTATCAAGTATAGCTGGTTACAAATGCCCTAGGCCTGGTCTTTTTTTCTTTTTTCTTTTCTTTTTTTTTTTTTTTTTTTTTTTTTTTTTTTTTTTTTTTTNTTTTTTGACAGAGTCTTACTCACTCTGTCTCTGAGGCTGGAGTGCTGTGGCGTGATCTTGGTTCACTGCAGCCTCTGTCTCCCAGGTTCAAGTGATTCTCTTGCCTCAGCCTCCCAAGTAGCTGGGATTACAGGCCCATGCAATCATCCCTGGGTAATTTTTGTATTTTTAGTAGAGAGGGTTTCACCATGTTGGCCAGGCTGGTCTTAAACTCCTGGTCTCAAGCAGTCAGCCTGCCTCAGCCTCCCAGAGTGCTGGGATTACAGGTGTGAGCCACCGTACCTGGCCAGGCCTGGTCTTAAGTGGACTGACCTGACCACCATGTCACTCAGCTTTATCACTGAAAGGAACAACATGTGCAAATACTGGTGGGAGTAAAATGCAGGTTTTTGCCTTTTTGTTGGGGGAGTGGTTTGTGGTTTTTTTTTTTTTTTTTTTTTTTGAGGCAGCGTCTCGCTCTATCTATCTCCCAGCCTGGAGTGCAGTGGCAGGATCTTGGCTTACTGCAACCTCCACTTCTGGGACTCAAGTGATCCTCCCATCACAGCCTCCTGAGTAGCTGGAACCACAGGCATATGCCCCCATGCCCACCTAATTTTTATATTTTTTGTAGAGATAGGGTTCTGCCATGTTGCCCAGGCTAGGTTTTTGTTTTTTTTAATAAAGCAGTTTGTTTTGCTAAATTAAGCTGATCAGCAGATTACCTTAGCAGCGTGCATATGTGGCCAAAGATCAAGGCTTCTCCCATAGCAGATGATGGTTCTCTCCATTAGAGAAGCAACAAGGTCTAGTGCAGTGGTTCTCAGACCTGACTGAACATTAGAATCACCTGGGGAGCTTTTAAAGCATCCAAGGTCCAGGCAACATCCCCAGCCACTTAAATCAGAATCTGTGATAGTAAGGCCCAGGCATCAGCAGCTTTTAAAACTCCCCTGGTGAGGCCAGGCATGATGGCTCACACCTGTAATCCCAGCACTTTGGAAGGCCAAGGTGGGTGAATTGTTTGAGGCCAGGAATTCGAGACCAGTCTGGCCAATATGGCGAAACCCCATATCAACTAAAAATACAAAAATTAGCCAGGCGTGGTGGTGCATGCCTATAATCCTAGCTATTCGGGAGGCTGAGGCATGAGAATTTCTTGACGCCAGGAGGCAGAGGTTGTAGTGAGCTAAGATTGCACCACTGCACTCCAGCCTGGGTGACAGAGTGAGACCCTGACTCAAAAATAAAGAATAAAAAAAACTACCCAGGTAAGGCCATTATGCTGCCAAGTCTGAGACCCACCACTGGTCCCACGTATAGAGCCATGGATCAAGGGTCAGAAAATGTCAGTAACTTTGGGTAAATTACTTCATCTCTGAGTCTCAGTTTCCTCATCTGAAAAACTAAACAAAGATAGTGGCCGTGCCTATCACACAGGGCTGTTAAAAGGATTAAATAAAATGATGTGAATAAAGGGATTTGGTATATATTGAAAGATTATCATGATTATTTGAAAATGTAAGCATTTACGTCCTATGAAACATGTTTCCTCTTAAATCTCATGAACACAGGCTGGTGCAGTGGCTCACACATATAATCCTAGCACTTTGAGAGCCTGAGGTGGGCAGATTGCTTGAGCCCCAGGAGTTCAAGACTAGCCTGGGCAACATGGCGAAACCCCATCTCTACAAAAAACAAAAATTAACTGGGTGTGATGGCACACTCCTGTAATCCCAGCTATTCAGGAGGCTGTGGTGGGAGGATCACTTGAGTTCAGGAGGTCATGGCTACAGTGAGCCGAGATCACGCCACTGCATTCCAGCCAGAGTGACAGGGTGAGACCCTGTCTCAAAAACAAGACCGCCACACAAACATGCATTTCAAGTGCTGGAATGTCAATGCTGAAGCTTTAGTAGAAATCATCTACCCTGTCCCCTCTCTGGATGTTAAGCCACCCACCTAATTAACATCAAAGAAGCCTAGTTTTGTGTCCCTAGTCCAGACTAGGTTGCCTATTTGAGGTCTGTTCCTTTTTGTGTTCTGGTGGATGCGCTAGTTATCAAGCCTACAGTGAAACCTTGTTCAGGAACAGCTGTGGTAACTACCCTTTATCTGCCAAGATGATGAAGTGGAGAGTAAGTAATCTCAACCACTGCTGGTAGAATTCATCAGTAATTTTTTTTTTTTTTTTTTGACATGGAGTCTCACACTGTCGCCCAGGCTGGAGTGCAGTGGCTCGAACTCAACTCACTACAATCTCCACCTCTTGGGTTCAAGTGATTCTCCTGCCTCAGCCTCCCGAGTAGCTGGGATTACAGGTGCCCAGCACCCCACGCCTGGTGGATTTTTGTATTTTTAGTAGAGACTGATTTTAACCATGTAAACTAGGTTGGTCTCAAACTCCTGACCTCAAGTGATCCTTCTGCCTCGGCCTCCTAAAGTGATGGCATTGCAGGCATGAGCCACCACACCCTGCCGACTCATAATTTTTAAGATTTTATCAGAAAAGCTTAAACACAATGAACTCTCCTGTGCCCTAAAAGCTTAGTATGTTGATTATTACATATTAGATTATAGGGTTATAATTTGATAGGATTTGGTACTAGCTGTCTGATGATTTGCACTGTTTTTAAGGTGTTCTTATATGTGTACATGTTGCCCTAAGCTAGCCATATGGATATTGTAAAAAAAGTCCATTGGACTTTCTTCCAGTTACAAGGTGTTACAACAGCCATAAGGAGCAGAGGGCCAGGTATTGCATCTCCTCTTCTGGTTTCAGCTTACTGTCTACAAAGGTGCCTAAAGCCTATTTCAACTGGAGCTGACTACCACACAGCCCTTCAGTCTAATCCATGCCTCATGGCGCCAAATGGAACAATACACAAGGTGGCTTTCAAAATCTTACTGCAACCCCTAGAGTAGTTGCGACTTTGGACAATGGAGTCACTTGAACTGTTTTTTTTTTTTTTTTTTTTTTTTGAGACAGATTCTCACTCTGTCACCCAGGCTACAGTGCAGTGGCATGATCTTTGCTCACTGCAACCTCCGCCTCCCATGTTCAAGCGATTCTCCTGCCTCAGCCTCCTGAGTAGCTGGGATTATAGGCATGTGCCACTACACCTGGCTAATTTTTGTATTTTCAATAGAAACGGAATTTCACCATGTTGGTCAGGCTGGTCTTGAACTCCTGATCTTGTGATCCACCCACCTCAGCCTCCCAAAGTGCTGGAATTACAGGCGTGAGCCACTGTGCCAAGCCTGGAGTCACTTGAGCTTTTAAAATAACTAATATCTGGGGCTATCCCCAGATATTCTTATTTAATTGGTCTGAGATGAGACCTGGGCATTGGGATTTTTTTTAAAGCCCTTGGTTTTTTGAATGTATGACCAAGGTTGAGAACTACTGCACTGGACTCCGCAGTTAAAAGGTAGAGAAGAAACTGTTCATTAGTCTTAGGGGCCCCATATATTATAGAATTTTATGCCATCTTGGGCTTGAGACATTTTTTTCTGATAAATTGGTAAAATGCATGTTGATTTTGACTGAGTCACTTCATTCCAAACAAGACAGCATTGCTGAGACACCATTCCTGGCCTTTTAAAGAAATATTTTTTGCCTCACCCCAACACATTTTCCTCCATATTAAAAACAAGGTGGGCTCATATCAGTAATAGTCTGACTATTTGAAAAATGTATAAAAGTTCTGCTTTTATTTTTAAGTCAACCAAGGACACAGACTACACCCTTCTGTCATCTAGAGTGTCAGTGACCATGATCTGCGGTATATATAAACTGCTAAACAAGAGAACACTCTAAATGGCTTCCTGATAAATGGCCAACAACTTAAAACAGAAACATAAAATTATGTTTTTTACTGAGTTTCACCAAATCAACTCTGAAGTCCTTCCATTTTCTCTTGACAGCTGTAGAATGCCTCCTGCATGGACTTCTTTGAATCTAGATACAAACGCAGGATGAGGGTTGGAAGAGTCATGATAGACTGCTGGCTGCTGAGGCAAACTTTATCAGATGTTTCCTCCATCTGGATTTGTTTCCCTATATAGCTATGAAATTCATTACTGTCTTTAGCTTTGCAGTTATTTTCTAAGGTTTTCACACAAATGTTGCTGTTTTTAGTGCCATGAAAAACATTTCCACTTTTTTATCTCCTACAGGCACCATACTTTTTTAGGCAAAGTGTTTATTTAATTTTGTTTTGTTGGATTTTTTTTTTAATTTACAGGAACTTTATTTGATGATAAAGGAGAAAAGCATGCCAAAAAAGGAATCTGTATTTGGGAGTGCATTGACAGGATGCACAAGAGGAGTCCCGTTTTCTTTAATTATTTATATTCACCATTGGAAATAGAGGTAGAGTAAGAAATCATTTATGTTTCACTTTCTGAAATTTTGTGTTAAGTTTTCCTTAGCTTAGTATATGTAAGCTGTTTAATACCAAAAAGCTATTTCAAAGTTTGAGACACTATATGTCTGGGTTGTGATAATGCCACAAAAATGAGGAGCTGGCCCCCAAAACCTAGAAGGGAAAACTTCTAGAGAATCAAAGCAAGGCAACTTTCCCGAGGAAGAAAGAACTAACAAAATTTGGCTGAGCACGGTGGCTCACACCTGTAATCCCAGCACTTTGGGAGGCCGAGGCAGGTAGATCACCCAAGGTCAGGAGCTCGAGATTAGCCTGGCCAATGTGGTGAAACCTCGTGTCTACTAAAAATACAGAAATTAGTTGGGTGTGGTGGCAAACGCTTGTAATCCCAGCTACTCGGGAGGCTAAGGCCAGAGAATTGCTTGAACCCAGGAGACGGAGGTTGCAGTAAGCCAGTATCATGCCATTGCACTCCAGCCTGGGCGACAAGAGTGAAAACTCCATCTCAAAAAAAAAAAAAAAGGAACAAAATTTGACATATCAACAGGTGTTCTAAGCTAAAAAACCTTAAAATACCTTAGAAAAGGTTTCTTTAAGTCCATCTATACCAAAGCCGTGAAAGGACCCCTGTAGGAAGCAGAGATGTTTAGAGCCGAGCCCAAGAAGGAAAACATATCTCCCCACCATGCACATCTACATAACAACTGTGCCCCACCATGCACATCTACATAACACATGCTCTGGAATGGAACAGACTGGTCTGATAAGCAGTTCCACCATTACTTAGGGCCAAGAGAGTCCCCTTCCCTGGGCTCCAATCATAGAACCCTAGTCTGGCCTTCCTCCAGCTGCATCCTCATGAAGTGAGGAGTACAAGAAAACAATGGTACATGCCGAAATGCCCCCTCCATCATCTAAACCATGTACTGGGTACTTCAGAATTCCTTGCCCAAATTCAGGGTGCCCACCAGGCTACTTCTCCAAGTCGGTCTACTAAGTTAGTGCATGGACCTCAAGGTCCAAAGAATGGCGAAAAGTGGCAGGTTTGACAGTGGACAGAGTTTGACTTTGTGGGCTGGGGTATACATAAACATTCATGTAAGACTCTTAGAATATAAGTTACGGGTGGGAGAAGAAGAGTTAGGCCAAGGACTGGGACCTGGGGCCAGCTCACCTAGTGCCACCACTTGCTAGTATAAAGTTCCAAGGAATCCAAGAATCCTCTATTAAACTTGACCTTCTGGGTCATTAGGAAGTTATATTTCTCAATGTAGGAGGATTGAAAATTGTTTTAATAATTTATTTTGATGTATGACTTTTAAATATTTAGACATATGGTATTTGAACCTCCATTCACACTCTTCCTCCCCTGGACTCTACAGATGTTAGGGGCTTGCCTGACAGTGAGCTTGGGGTACTTTGGGTTCAAGATGAAACTGTATTTCTGTTTTTTTTAACAGGCCCTGAAGCCCAGTGTAAATGTCTCCAGCCTCAAGAAGTGGGATTACTACACAGAAGAGACCCTGTCCACAGGCCCTTCCTATGACTGGATGATGCTAACCCACAAGCACTTCCCCTCCGAAGACATTGACCTGGCTGGAGAAGCTGGGCCCAGGAGCCAGAGGAGAACAGTGTGGCCATGCTATGATGATGTGAGCTGTACTCAGCCTGATGCTTTCACCAGCCTTTTCAGTGTAAGTCAACTGTAGATACACACCTAGGGGCACCATGGGCGCCAGAGGCACAAGGCCAAAGAAACCAGGCTAAGCTAAGAATGGTTTACAAACTTCAGAACATGGCTTTCCTTACTATGGGCTAAGGTTATGGTAGCACCCTCCCAGTATGAAGAAAACAGATTTGCTCCCTATCATGGGCTGGGGGGGGGATGGGGACCAGACTTCACTACTGGAAAAGAGTCTCAATAAAAGTGATTTTCCAGCATTACAAGGAAGCAATCAAGCAAATGGAGCAATTTACTCCTTCCGGCAGCTTCCCAGCTGTTTTAGTTGCCCGAGCAGCCTTAGTCAGGCCTTGGCTGTGGCTTTTGTGGGTGCTTACTTCCTCTGGTCAGAAGTGTGGGTAGTTTCAGTGGCCTGATGGGAGCGCTACCAACCATCTTCTGCAAGGAATGTTCCAGAACAAACCCATCTTGGCAGTAGCCAGCCTGAGGAATAGCTTTGAGCCTTGACAGGGGCCAGACAGTTCCTGAAGAGTCTTTCTCCTCTGGTTTCCTGACCAGGAAGAGTATGCTTCAGTGTCATACTGTCACAGAGGCAGTTGCTCTGATCTCCAGCTTCTCTGTCAGAAGGGATATCTGTTTCCTTGGGTATTTCTTGGTTCATTCTTTCCACATCTGGTTTGAATCATCAGAGTTGAGGGGTTCCTCCTGTCAAGGACAGACTTCTCATCTACCTCAGCTGTTAGGGCTGGGCCACAGGCCCAGTGCTTGACCTCTTGCTTTGGCTATCAGATTTCCCACGGGCTGCCCAACAGTGCAGATGTCTGGGATACATATTTCACGTCCTAGTATGTAAGCTATCCTGTACCAAAAGGCCTAGATATAGGTCCTAATAAACCATCTTCGCCACAGTGTGGCATACCAGCTACGGCTGTCACCACTATTCTTGGCTGGGAGACTTCTGAGGCCCAGGTCCACCACTTTCCTCAACTGTCCTCTGGCCATGCTGCTCATCTGGGCCTAGTACAGAAGCAGTGTGGCTTTGGGGCACATCCTGATTTCCATGAAATACTGATCTATTGAAAAACTTTTAATTTCTTGGCAGGAAATTGAAAAATTGGAGCACAAATTGAACCAAGCACCTGAGAAGTGGCAGCAGCTGTGGGAAAGGGTAACCGTGGACCTTAAAGAAGAACCAAGAACAGATCACGTGAGTTGGCAGTGCCCCTTGAGAGCTACTTCTGAGCTTTCTGAGGGTGTTAAATCAGGTGGAGCCCACTGCCACAGGTGACAAGACCCAGCTGGGTTTATGTCCAGAAGGGGAAGGGTCATGCCCTGTGGGTCCAGGGCAGAAAGTTCCAAATGACTGAATACTTCCTGAGTGTCTCACTTCACCACAGTGACATAATACTTATGTCTCAGCACCCTGAATCCAGGGGAAATTAGTGGATTCTTTTCTATCTCAGTGCCTCTGTGGTTTCAGCTGATCTTCTACCACATGAGGGAGGAGGGGAATGCCAAGACCATGTTTGCTGCAGAGAAAGTATTTTAAAACAACAAAATATGCTACCTTCTATTGTTCATAATCCCTTTTCTGTTTCTCACTTAAGAAACATTTATTGCCGGGCGTGGTGGCTCACACCTGTAATCCCAGCACTTTGGGAGGCTGAGGCGAGTGGATCATGAGGTCAGGAGTTCAAGATCAGCCTGGCCAAGATGGTGAAACCCTGTCTCTACTAAAAGCACAAAAATTAGCTGAGCGTGGTGGCACGTGCCTGTAATCCCAGCTACTCAGGAGGCTAAGGCAAGAGAATCACTTGAACCCAGGAAGTGGAGGTTCCAGTAAGCAGAGATCTCACCACTATACTCCAGCCTGGGCAACAGAGCAAGACTCTGTCTCAAACAAAAAAACTTTGATCATAAAAATATTTTAAAACCAAATATTCTTGTTTTCTGCTTCTTACACCCCATTTCCTATTTCTGATTTAAGAAATTTATCAAGTACATAATATGTGGAAGGGTCTGTGCTTAGTACCATATACACATTCCCATTTTTTTTTTTTTTTTTTTTTGAGACAGAGTTTCACTCTTGTTACCCAGGCTGGAGTGCAATGGCACGATCTCGGCTCACCGCAACCTCCGCCTCCTAGGTTCAGGCAATTCTCCTGCCTCAGCCTCCTGAGTGAGTAGCTGGGATTACAGGCATGCGCCACCATGCCCAGCTAATTTTTTTGTATTTTTTTTTTTTTAGTAGAGACGGGGTTTCACCATGTTGACCAGGATGGTCTCGATCTCTTGACCTCGTGATCCACCCGCCTCAGCCTCCCAAAGTGCTGGGATTAACAGGCTTGAGCCACCGCGCCCGGCCTATTCCCATTTTATTTATCCACTGTGAGGGAGTGGCGTTCCCTCTCCTACGTGAGCAGCAGGCACAGAGATCATACAGCTGCAATGATGATCAAACCCACATCAGACTGCCTCCAAATGCAACAAAAGGAATATTAGGACAGATGAGTGTTCTGAAGCACAGTTCAGGAAGAAGAGGTCAGCAGGCTAGATGTTGTTATAGAAAGGTCAGGAAGAATGGAGGGTGGAAGAAAACCTTTGTGGTAAAAAGAGACCATCTAGGGCTCTGTCTCTTACCCTCAAATAGCAATTCAGGAGCTGTTATCAGACAGACAACAGGTAGGTGATATTTTAATGCTTTTTTGTTAGAAAAGTAATAGCTTATTTTTTTCTGATAATGAAAGGTATGTTCTTTTTTTTGGAAAGAGCACACACAACGTTATAAAATAGAAGATGAGAATTACTCACAATTTATAATCTAGAAGTAAACCACTATGCTGTCAAACTTGTTTTATTCTTATAAACCCACATATAAAAGAAATGTACTACACATACTATTTTAAACCTGCTTTCTTTTTTACTCCACGTTGGCATACATGTCCTTCCATCTGTCACTGTGTATAAACCAGCGTCATCTTTTTTTTTAAATAGACAGGGTTTCACCATGTTGGTCGGGCTGGTCATGAACTCCCGACCTCAGGTGATCCGCCCACCTTGGCCTCCAAAGTGCTTGGATTACAGGCGTGAGCCACCATGCCCGGCCTAAACCAGCATCATCTTTATTTTTTTTGAGATAGAGTCTCACTTTGCTTCCCAGGCTGGAGTGCAGTAGCATGATCACAGCTCACTACAGCCTCAACCTCCCAGATTCTGGTGATCCTCCCGAGTAGCTGGGACTACAGGCACATACCATACCTGCTCACTTTTTTGTAGTTTTTGTAGAGATGGGGTTTCGTCATGTTACCCAGGCTGGTCTCAAGCTCCTGGACTCCAGTGATCCACTCACCTCTGCCTCCCAAAGTGCTGATATCACAGCTGTGAGCTACCACCGGCCATAGCAGCATCATTTTTAATGACTGTCTAGAATTCCATTGTATGGAAATGTCATAATTTGTTTAACTTCCCTAATAATGGATGTGTAGATTGTTTCCAGTTTTTTTACCATGATAAATGATAAATGACTAACTCCAGGATTGATATCTTTGTACATTATCTTTGCCCGTTGGTCTACTTTTTTTCCTTGAGATAAATACTTGTAAATGAAATTTTCTAGTGGGTGGCTTAAGTGTCTGTAAAGCTTTCCTAGTTCCTGTCCTCTTTTTCAGTCCCAAAGACACCTGTCGAGGTCCCCAGGAATTGTGTCTACCAATCTGCCTTCCTATCAGAAGAGGTCTCTGCTACATCTCCCAGACAGCAGCATGGGGGAGGAACAGAATTCCAACATCTCCCCATCCAATGGAGTGGAGCGAAGAGCAGCCACGCTCTATAGCCAGTATACATCCAAGAATGACGAAAACAGGTGACATGCTGAACATTGCTTGGTGTGCTGAAGACTTCCCCATACCACTTGAGGCTAAACCACAGGTCCCTCAATAAGCTAGGCCTGTGCAGTTTTATGGTCTTTAAATGGATTTGCTTTAAATGTTTTTAAAAATGTTTTAGAGGTTTCTTTAAAAAGAAAAAAAAATTACAACTAAAAATAATGCCAAGAGGTTGTAGTTATTTGTAGTTGAGTCCTGATGGCTCTTATCTCATGTCTGCCAGAGTATTTGAGGGAATATGTGTTAGCCAGCACTTTGTCAGTGGCAAACATCAGAAATCCAGCTTATGCTAGCCGAAGCAAAAAGGACTTTACTCACATAAACTAGGACAGCCAAGAGTATGCTAGCTTCTCACACAGTATCTTCTGTCCATTTCCTGGCTCTGCTTTTCTTTCTGTCTGTGTTACATCAGTCCCAACATGGCACGAAAGATGGCTACTAATCATTCCAAGCCTCACAAATGTGGTAATCCCAGCAGAAAGCAGCAGTCTTTCTCCAGAGGTCTAGTGGAAAAATCCGGGGAGAACCTTTATTGGCCTTTTTTGGATCATCTAGGGGAAATAGAGACTGACAAAAACAACATCCCCTCCCCTTAACGGCATTTTTTAAGTGAAAATCAAAATTAACTCTCCTGTCATCATTTCTTCTAGGTCCTTTGAGGGAACGCTTTATAAAAGAGGGGCTTTGCTGAAAGGTTGGAAGCCCCGTTGGTTTGTTTTGGATGTAACAAAACATCAGGTAATACTCTTAAAGCCAAAAGAAATTACTTCTGTCTAGGCGCAGTCCCTGGCTATTATGTGGCTCTAGCAGAGAGATACATTCCTCATGTACACACCGCTCTCTTAGTGCCTCTCATATGCAGTCTGGAGGCGTTTTTTGTCTGGAGACAGAGTTTCACTTTTGTTGTCCAGGCTGGAGTGCAATGGCACCATCTTGGCTCACTGCAATCTCTGCCTCCCAGGTTCAAGTGAATCTCCTGCCTCAGCCCCCCAAGTAGCTGGGATTACAGGCATGCGCCATCACCCCCAGCTAATTTTTTGTATTTTTAGTAGATGTCCCTGAGTAAGGACACTAGCCTTCTGAGGAAGTGACCCAAGTAGCTTGGCCTGGTACATGCAGGCGGAGGCAGCAACAGTTGAGCCCAGAGATTACAGCAATAACTTTTTTTTTTTTTTTTTTTTTTAATGTTCTTAAATTAATAACAAGAACTATTTATTAAAAACTTAAGATGGGGCCGGGCACTGTGGCTCACACCTGTAATCCCAGCACTTTCTTGTTAACAGTTCAGTTCATCATCTAAAAATTGATGGCATCTTAGAATGTGACTGCTAGCATACTTATAGTGGCATTTTATTTTTTTTTTTTATTTTTTTTAATGAGACGGGGTTTCACCATGTTGGCCAGCTTGGTCTTGAACCGCTGACCTCAGGTAATCCACCCGCCTCGGCCTCCCAAAGTGATGGGATTAACAAGCGTGAGCCACCACGCCCGGCAACTTTTTTTTTTTTTTAATGTTCAAATATCTCTTGCCTGCTCTTAAAACCCCAGAGGAGGGGATTCCTGAGGTTTTCAGCCTGTTGCATACATACCATATGCACATATAAGCCTGTGCCTATGAATAATACCCAGAATACTGGTTACTTTCATCCTTGAAGCAGAAAGTATCCATTCAAAACAGAGGGCATTAATTTATTCTACAAACATTGAACACCACCTCTGTGCCCATTTCCGTACTGGTTACTAAAGAAGGCACTGTTACCCTTCAAAGATGGCAGCAACAGGGAAGTAAAAGGGCCCCAAAAGAGGCAGAAGTGGATGCGCCCACCCAAACTTGGAATCCACTGTGGGCAAATACTAGATTGGACCTTGCTGACTATGTCAAGACATTTTTTGCCTATTGTTAGGTTCTTAGCTATTCCTGTAGCAGTCTCTGCAATCCTTAGCATCATAGTCTTTACTCCAGTGATTTCAAGGCAGAGCGATTCCTACCCACACCTCCAACAACTCTGCACCCTGCATTACTGAAAGCTGCATTGTCTCCTGTTTTCCGACCACAGGCCTTACTCCACCTTGGAACTGACCAGTTAGCCTTGAGGCTGAGTCTTACACATTTTCATTCTCAATGCATTTATCTATAAAATGGAATCTGTTAGGAAAGACCTGAACTGTTACTCCTATACAGTGCTTTGGTCAGACCTGCATCTAGAAGACTCCTTCCAAATGAAGACTGTCTTTGGGGACTAGCCTTTTCTGCTCAGGGAGTTTCATAAAGATTACAGAGTAAGGCTGGGCGTGGTGGCTCATGCCTGTAATTCCAGCACTTTGGCAGGCCAAGGAGGGCAGATTACCTGAGGTCAGGAGTTCGAGACCAGCCTGGCCAACATGGTGAAACCCCATCTCTACTAAAAATACAAAAAATTAGCCAGGCGTGGTGGCACATGCCTGTAATCCCAGATACTGGGGAGGCTGAGGCAGGAGAATCACTTGAATCTGGGAGGCGGAGGTTGCAGTGAGCCGAAATAGCGCCATTGCACTCCAACCTGGGCAACAAGAGCAAAACCCTATCTCAAAAAAAAAATTACAGAGTCTTTGTGAGACAATATAGAGAATTTATGTTCAAATATACAAATGGAAGTCCTTTTAGGGAGCCACACTCTGAAATCCTAGAGCCTATATTATGTAAAAAAAAGTTCCATTGAACTTCTAAATATAACATAGGAGAATGTCATAATTTTTCTATAATTTACGATTACATCAAATTATACCTGCATTCTTACCGGTCTTCTGGACTTTTTTTTTTTTTTTGGACACAGAGTCTCACTCTGTCGCCAGGCTGGAGTATAGTGGTGCGATCTCAGCTCACTGCAACCTCTGCCCCCTGGGTTCAAGCAATTCTCCTGCCTCAGCCTCCTGAGTAGCTGGGACTACAGGCGCCCACCACCATGCCTAGCTAATTTTTGTATTTTTAATAGAGATGGGGTTTCACCATGTTGCCCAGGATGGTCTCAATCCCTTGACCTCGTGATCTACCCACCTCTTCCTCCCAATGTGCGGGGATTACAGGCGTGAGCCACTGCGCCCGGCCTTCTTCTGGACTTCTTTAACATGAAATATACAGTTTTTCCATTTAGCCTTGCTCATACAATGCCTGAGAAGAGACACAGAGAAAAGTCTCAGGCCAGAACCACAATGTCAGAAGCACCAGACGCTTTCCTGTCATGTATGCTGGGGAGTAAAATCCACAGATTATAGCCCAATAAGGCTTATTCCTTAGCAGTTTGACTTTTTTTCTTTTTTCTTATTCCAAAAGCCAATACATGCTTATTACGCCACATTCAAACATTTCATACAGATCTCCAAGTCCCCAGTGTAGTCAGGCTATTCATTGTGTTCTTCAAAAATCATTTTATATCTATATGCTGTTTGGAACTTGATTTTTAAAATGTCTTCAACAACAGCTTTCCTATATGAGTTCTATATAAACTCATATAGATCCTCTGTATTCTTTTTGAAAAGCTGTATAGTATTCCAATTTATTGATGAATTGTCATTTAATGTATTCACTGCAGCATGAAAGATAAATATGTCTTTTCCAATGTTTAGCTGATAAAGCTAGAGGAAACCTCTCCATACATGTTTCTTTGCATGCTTGTGGGAGAGAACTTCTGTAAGACTACTTTATAAAGGTGAGAAAGGTATTTCAATAGGCATAAACATTCTAAATTTTAGTTGACATTGCCAAAGTGTTCCCCAAAAAATTTCTAGCCAGTTATATTCACACTGGTAGTATTTGAGATTATCTAGTAACTTACTGGATAATATCAGCCATTTTTAATATTTCTCACTTCAAAAGTAAAATCTCATTTATTGTCCTTTACTTGTCTTTGATTAATGAGGTTGATTATCTTTTTCATTTTTTATTATTATTATTTTTTTAAAGATGGGGTTTCACCATGTTGGTCAGGCTGGTCTTGAACTCCCAACCTCAGGTGATCCACCCGCCTTGGCCTCCAAAGTGCTTGGATTACAGGCATAAGCCACCACGCCCGGCAGTTGATCATCTTTTCAGATGTTTATAGGTCATTTGTATTTCTCTGTGACTTGCCTGTTGAGATATTTTGATCATTTTTCTACTAGACTTTTTCTTAATTTCTGGAATTCTATGTATTACTAACCATTAGCCCCCTTTTTATATGTTACATTTACTTTTTACAGTTGCTAGTTGACCTACTATTTTTTGAGACAGGGTCTTACTCAGGCTGGAGTACATGATCTCAGCTCACTGCAGCTCGACCTCCCAAGCTCAAACAATCCTCCCACCTCAGCCTCCTGAGTAGCTGGAACTACTGGTGTACACCACCATGATTGGCTAATATTTGTATTTTTTGTAGAGACAGGGTTTCACCATGTTGCCCAGGCTGGTCTCAAACTCCTGGGCTTAAGTGATCTGCCCACCTTGGCCTCCCAAAGTGCTGGGATTACAGGCGTAAACCACCACACCCAGTCTTAATTCTATTTTTTAAGATATAATACATTTATTTGTTTGATTTTCAAACAGTACATAAGTCTTTCCCCAATGCTTTCTCCAAGCCACCTAGTTCTTCCTAGAAGCAATAAGTATTATTAATTTTTTGTGTATTCTTCCAGGCATAGTTTAACATATATAACCAAGGTACAGAGGAAGGTATTCAAATACAGTTTGAAAAGCCATGTCATTTTCTGTTTCTGTATCTCTCATATCTCATTTTTGTATCCTTTTGGTCCCAGCTGAGATACTATGACTCAGGTGAGGACACGAGCTGTAAAGGCCACATTGATCTGGCGGAAGTAGAAATGGTCATCCCTGCTGGCCCCAGCATGGGAGCCCCAAAGCATACAAGTGACAAGGCTTTCTTTGATGTAAGTTGATCTTACTTCTCTTTTCCTGGCTCTGCCTGCACATCTTTCCGTCTCCAAGAATTACGGGGCCCTCAGAGGAATTGGTGGTGACTGAAATGGATGACAGACCCCCTTGGCTATGGGAATTATTCCAGAGCTTGAACTCAGCACTACAGACCCCCAAGGCTATCCTCTCTTGCTGTCTGTGTGGCTCAGAAAAGCTGCATACTGCTTTGTGCAAAAGGAGTCCAGCCGCGCATGGAAACAGATGAACTCCTTGTTAAATGTTGTTAGTTATTTCAGTCACCACCTACTTTCAAGAGCAGATGTATTCAGATGTATTCAGTGGTCTTCATGCTTGACCATCCATAAAAGACTGTCCTTAGTCACATATGATAACTATCTACCCTAACATCTTCAGCAGCCCTTCGGTGGGCCATGGGGCATTTATAGGCCACATAATAGGAGACTTATGTAGTCCTGGGAGTCAAGCAGGGTTTCATGAAGAGCACAGGTCATCTTCTAGGGCCCTGCTCAGGCCATGAGACCATTTTCCTGACGGTGGGCTTCTAATATGGCTCCAACTGAAGAAAGGGGACACAAAGGCCAACTTTATGGTGTGGATGAATCTCAGGCATCCCCCTGGAGCACAAGGAGCTCCCTCACCTTTAGTGCATTGTTGCAGTGCATGGGAGAGGTTAAAGGCACCATTCATTGCTGACTTTTCCTCCTTAGTCAAAGAAGACACCAAGAAAATGCAAAGCAAGGCAATCCCAGTGTGTCTTCTTTTTCTGCCAGTACCCTTCTGTCAGCATCCCCTATGACTCTAGAGACCAGAAAAGTAAAGGCAATGACAGTATGGTAGTTGAGAAAGAAGAATTCATAGAGGTTCTCGGACAGTATGGAAAAGGGAAGGTCACAGGGATTGATTTACCACTTACCCGAAGCCATAAAACAGCCCTGACTTTCATCTCTGGTTCTCTGTCATTTGGTTTTGTAGCTCAAGACCAGCAAACGTGTGTATAACTTCTGTGCCCAAGATGGACAGAGTGCCCAGCAATGGATGGACAGGATCCAGAGCTGTATCTCTGATGCCTGATGCCCATGGTCAACCCACACAGAAGAAATAGAAGAACGTATGCTGCCAGTTAGAAAACAAGCATGAATCCTTGAGGAGCTGACGACAAGTTATTCCAGGGCCCGAGGTTCTCCTGCCCAGTCCCCTCTTGCAGCAGTTGCGATCTCTACTTAACCTGGATAGTTGTTTCACACAGGTCTGGTCAAGAGCCCCATGCACTCCCTGTATCTTGCACTAAATTTTTCTAACAGGGTCTAGTGGTTAGTGATCAGATGTCTCCTGAGCCAAAACTGTGAACCTCACCCAGACAAAATGGCTTCCACCTACTTGGGTCCTTCTTCATTAAAGCTATAGATCCTTTTTTGTTCTCCAAGGTCATAATTTCCTTGGAGAGCTGTCTAACAAGCAAAAATCAAAACACTCCAAGATTGTCTCATATTCTACATAGACTTAGGTTTCCTATCAGAGGAATCTACTTGTACTGCCTGACCTTTGAAATGCTCAGTTCTCTGGTGCTCCCAAGAGGTGCTTCCGTGGTCCCTGCTTTGCCATTGGGGTTCACAACAAGAGATGTCATTGCTCAGTACCAGGCAAAGAGGGAGCACACATCATTATTCTGATGGAAAAAGATTATCCAGGGAACGGTGCAGCAATGACTAGCCCAATAGAGGAAAACACTACTTCCAAAACACTGAATTCTCTAGACCAGAGATGCTCTGAGGATCCAGGGCCTTGTGTTCTTATGTATTTTCTTCTTCCTGACAGTTGTTTTGTTTTTTTTGTTGTTGTTGTTGTTGTTTTCCCAAAATAACATGCAAAAAAGCTGAATGCACTAACTCACAAAACAAACACTTGCACTGAACTCCTAATGAAGTGAAGATGTTGGAAAGACAGAGACCAGCTATTTAGGACCACACACATCTATGACAAGGGCTTGTGTAGATCACAGTCACACTGTGGCATGACTGGATACCCAAACTACACTTCTACACATGAAAAATAAGAACTGTTTTTAGATTTTCTTTACTTTGAGATCTTGTGTTTGTTTAGCTTAAGACCCAAGAAATGCTGTTTGCTCATGGTAAACAGAAACAGTGTCTTTGCTACAACCACTGGCACCAGCTGGCGTCATAGGTAGCTACATCATTGCATTTGTTTTGAAATGTTAATATGTTAAATACTAAACTAATATTTCAAAAATGTGTATATATGATTTCTACATTCTTGTTTTTCAGATAGCCTGCTTATAATTTAATATAAATTAACTGATTCATAAAATTTCAATAGTGAAATGGTTCCCTTTTTAAAAAATAAAAATACTTTCTTTGTTGATTAAAAAAAAAAATCAGAGGCCAGGCGTGGTGGCTCACGCCTGTAATCCAAGCACTTTGGAGGCCAAGACGGGCGGATCACCTGAGGTCGGGAGTTCAAGACCAGCCTAACCAACATGGTGAAACCCTGTTTTTCTTTATATATATATATATATATATATTAAAAAAAAGATAAATAAGATTTTCAAATTTAAAATTGTCTACACACTAGGAAATAGAACTGTCTTAATATATAAGAAATTTGGAGATAAGTATGAAGGACTTTTCTATCGTTTCCATTTTATAAATTGCCACCTGTGAAAATGGTTTTTGCACATTATTTGTATTTTTCTTTGTATATGAAATAATTTTTTGTACTTTGTAAAATATGGAGCCCATTGTACCTTCAAGCTATTTGAGACTATACACAGTGCTTCTTTTTTAACTGGATTATTTTAACTTTCATGAAGGCATTACATTGCCTTACATTCACTAACCACCTTGAATTAAATTTATTTCTTAAAAAAAGCATCCCTCATTTACTGTGAAATAAAAGTTCATTCTGCAGTGCACAGCACTCAAGAGAGTAACACTCAGGATTCATACATGGGACTAAAGGTTCAAGAATAAAACAAAGCATGACCCACTTTGTACCTCAATTCTCCTAATGTCATCACTGCTCAAGAAGTAACCAGGGATATTAGACATGCCAGCATGAGCTTCTGGGTTCCAGACACACTTCTGCAGAGTTTAGGTAAGAGACTTGAAGCCAAGATTCTCACATGTGCTGCCACTACTACCACTGCCTCTAATAAGCTGTTTGAAATTGGTTAAGTCCCTTAACTATTCTGGGTACATTCCACCACCTACAGTATATGCTAATAATCTGTGAAAATTTTAGGCATGAGACATTGAAGTCTGGTTGAGCAGCAGATTTTTCTGCTTCAGGGAATTGCTAAACAGCACAAATGATCAATGATTTCGGTTCTAGACAATACTTCCTTTGTTAAGCCCATGAGTTTACCTCATGTAGCCAACAGAGAATGCAAGTTTTCATCTCAAGGCTGAGCCTTTAAGTCCTTTGACATCCAGAGTCCTCTGAGCTAAGCAAGAGGGCCCCAAAGAGCCACTGAGGCTCAAGGTGAGACAGTGACATATCCCTCTTGAGCTTTCGGTTCTCCTCAGTCTCAAGAGCATGCTGATTAGCCAAGGGCCCTCAAGCCTTTCCTTGGTCCTAGGCATCTCAACAGCTACCATTATGCTTTGCTATGTCCCTGAGATTCAGTGAGGAGGGAAGCACTGGGATTAGGGATTGAGTAGAAGCTGTGTTCACAGTGTCAGTGTCTGGATGCCTGCCCTTCATTTCTCAGGTCTTAGCTGTGAAAAGGGAGAAGGATACTGGGTTCTGTAAGCCAAAAATAAAATTCTAAGCCCCCCAGATGACTAAATGGACCCCATCAGCCAACAGAATTCCAAAGAAACCTGAAAAAACAGTTCCGGCCATGATGCTGGGGCAAGGAGGTGGACGGGCCTCATTATACCTACACCCTTTTGGGGTTTAGACACAACCGACCAACATTAATATTAAAACAGATCTTAAGACTAACAAAATAGACTGTCACTATAAGATACCATATTCCAACCTGGCTCCAATATAGCATAACATAACAGATAGCAAGCCCTAAAAGAAACCAAAGTTTTTTTCATCCCAAAATACATTTCTTTTACATATTTTGAAATAGCCCCACCGAGCTATATCCTGGGGGCGGTTTATATTCTATAGAGAATCCCTTTCCCTTCCCAAGTCTTATTCTGATCCCGAAGAGATTAACTAAGAGTCTAGTACCTTTTAAAGGTGTGAATAGGAAATATTTCTGATCTATTGCCTCTAAGGGCAGCCACCTTGAGATTTCATCAACCCCTTATCTTAACCCAGACACTCCTTTCAATTGATTTCAGGCTTTTAGATAATAACTCTTTCAACCAATTGCTAACCAGAAAATCTTTGAATCCATCTATGACCTGTAAGCTTCGTCCTTTCCAGGCCAAACCAATGTGTACTTCACATATGTCGGTTGATGTCTTATTGTCTCCCTAAAACATAAAAACCCAACTACCTTGGGCTTGTATTCTCAGGACCTCCTGAGACTGTGTCCTGGGTCATGATCCTTAACCTTGGAAAAATAAATCTCTTAATTGATTGAGACCTGCCTCATATACTTTTTTGGTTTACAGTTCCAAGGGAGAACGACCAGGGCCTGGCGACCTGCAAGAGCCTTAACAGGGCTCTTCCTTCTGTGGTCTCAGTGACAAAACCCTTCTAATCTGGGCTCTTGAAAGGTGGAAACTCGGCCGGGTGCGGTGGCTCACACCTGTAATCCCAGCACTTTGCGAGGCCAAGGCAGGCAGATCATGAGGTCAAGAGATCAAGACCATCCTGGCCAACATGGTGAAACCCTGTCTCTGAAAAAAAGAAAGATGGAAACTCAAAGGAACACATTAGCATGGGTCACTTCCCAACCCCTTTGACCCAAATCATTTATTCCCACCTCCCAAACCCCTTCACTCTACTATCTCCACCCCGGAGCTAGAGCTTAAACTGCAAATAACATGGCAGCTCTTCTTCTCAAGGGAAATTGACACTCTTAGGTGTTTAATCAGGGGTTTTTATAAGAGTTAAGTAATCCTATCATCCCATGAAGAATTTCTGAAAGATCCCAAGCTGATAACAGGGAAGTGTCCTCAGCAATACCAGCCAAAGCTATTAATTAAACAATGAATAAAGCAGTATTAACAGAGATAGGGTTTACAGCAGCACCATCAAACATGTAGAATGCAAGCCACATAGGTATCTTTCAAGAAAACAAAAAGATGACATTAATTTTAATATATTTGTTTTTCATCATATATTTAATCCAATATGTCAAAAATGTCATTTTAATGAGTAAACAATACCAAAAAAAAAAATGAAATATATTCCTTGTTCCTATTAAGTCCTCAAAATCCAGTGTGTATTTTATACTTACAGCACATCTGAGTTTGGACTAATGTGTTTTTTTTCAGAGGCCACTTGTGATAAATGCATGTCGTGTTTTATACCAGTTCTCCAACATCAACTGGACATCCAACAATTCAGTTCAAGTTTGACACTAACTGCCCAGATTTAGCATAGACTCCACAAGTTCAGGTCTGTCCTCAAGACTGCCTACCCTTCAAACACAAGCTGCAAGATCCAAGGGCCACCAGAACTTCTGACCAACCAGCTATAAATATGAAAGTTTCCACCTCCATCCTCAGATTCAGTAATTTGCCAGAACAAATCACAGAACTTAGAAAAACACTTTACTTAGATTTACAGCTTACTTCTAAGGGGCACACCTCAGGATCAGCCAAAGGGAAGAGATGCTCAGTATGGAGGGAGGCAGCACACCACCTTCCCAGCACCTGATGTGATCACCTGGAGGCACTCCTTATCTCATCATTCAAGAGTTTTTACAACCCAGTCTCCAGTGACCCTCCCTCCCCTGAGGTTGGCAATGGCCTGGAAAGTTCACTTGTTTAGGCTTTCAGATGACCAGCCCACATCCTTAACCTATCTAGGGACCCCACCCTAGATCACCTTGTTAGCATAAAGTCAGGTGTTAAAGGGCAGTGATGAATAACAAAAGATACTCCCAAAGGGTGGGCTATGGTAGGGATAATAAAATATCACTTAGGAAATTTCTAGGGTTTTAGAAAACTGTGTGCCTGGAACACAGAACAAAGAACAAATGTATTTTGTACTATACCACAACTAGCCTTATTTCCACTGCTACCACGCTAAACAATGCATATTTACGGCAAATAGACTGCTCACGGTAGAGCCTGGGGTGGGAAGAGCTGGGTGGCAAGAGACCTGGGTTCTAGTGCTGTTCTCTTCTAATCTAATCTATGAGCTTGAACCAGTCCCTTAACTTTGCTGGGTTTTGACTTATAAAATGCAGGACCCAGATGATCTGTTACTTTGTGATTCCAAATATTTACCTTGGCAAGGACTCAGTTTCCAAACTGAGATTTAAAGGATTTGCTGAAAAATCCAAATCATCTAAATCAGTGCTTCTCAAATTATAATGCATATATGAATCAGCTTGTGAAAATGAGATTATGATTCAGTAGGTTTGAGGTGGGGCTTGACAATCTGCATTTCTTTTCTTTTTTTTTTTGCTCTTGTTACCCAGGCTGGAGTGCAATGGCGTGATCTCAGCTCACAGCAACCTCCGCCTCCTGAGTTCAGGCAATTCTCCTGCCTCAGCCTCCTGAGTAGCTGGGATTACAGACACGCACCACCATGCCCAGCTAATTGGTTGTATTTTTAGTAGAGACGGGGCTTCACCATGTTGACCAGGATGGTCTCGATCTCTTGACCTCATGATCCACCCACCTCAGCCTCCCAAAGTGCTGGGATTACAGGCGTGAGCCACCGCGCCCGGCCTGACAATCTGTATTTCTAATGAGGCCAGTGCTATTGGTCCAAGGACTACACTTGGAGCAACAGAAATGTGTCTCAGTCCTCTGAGAAGCAGATATCAGATAGGCAGAAACAGGGGAGGCTGGAAGAGCCAAGAGACCATGATGCAGGTGTGATCCTTGTGAAAAGAAAGGGAAGAATGGAAAGCTGAGTGGAGGAGACTTGGTTTCAGTGCAGTTCTAAGGAAGTTCATCCTTGAGCCATCAGGGGAATCCCACAGTTTCCAAGAATGGGCCTTCCTAGGATCCCTGCCATGCCCAGTCATTGGCTAGGAGCAATCCATGGGAAGCATGGTCTTGCAAACACGTAATAGATTTCAGAATATACCAGCTGAGGCCAATAGTCAATGACAGTCCCTGTAGTCAGAGATCTGAGAATTCTTTTCATGGTTGTCAATGTTAAAGTTACCAGAATCAAAATGGAGTCACTTAAAAAAAAAAAAAAAAAAAAAGCTGATAAATTGATCCAGGGAAAGCTATGAAGAGAAAGTTCTCATGCATAAATGCCTGACAACAAAAACTA